ACGAAGTACAAGACGCAAAGTAAAGACGAAAGTACAAGACGAGGTACAGATCGACAAATAACAAGAGGGAGTACAAGAGGAAAGTACAGCGGGAGTACAGACGAAGTAAAGATCGAGAGTACAAGACGAGAGTACAAGACGAAAGTACAAGACGAAAGTACAAGTCGAAAGTACAAGTCGAAAGTACAAGTCGAAAGTAAACAGACGGAGTACAGACGAGAGTACAAGACGAAAGTACAGAGAGAGTACAGACGAAGTACAAGACGGGAAGTAAAGACGAAAGTACAAGACGGAGTACAAGACGAAAGTACAAGTCGAAAGTACAAGACGAAAGTACAAGACGGGAGTACAAGACGAAAGTACAAGACGGAAGTACAAGACGAAAGTACAAGACGAAATAAATGACGAAAAGTACAGACGGGGAGTCAAGACAAGTACAGACGGAGTACAAGACGAAAGTACAAGTGAAAGTACAAGTCGAAAGTCAAGTCGAAAGTACAAGCGAGAGTACAAGACGAGAGTACAAGACGAAAGTTACAAGACGAGGTACAAGACGAAAGTCAAGACGGGAGTCAAGACGAAGTACAAGCGGGAGTAAAGACGAAAGTACAAGTCGAAGTACAAGTCGAAAGTAAAGTGAAGTACAAGACGAGAGTACAAGACGAGAGTACAAGACGAAAGTACAAGACGGCGAAGTCAAGAGAAGATAAAAGACGGGAGTACAAAGACGAACAGTACAAGACGAAAGTACAAGTCGAAGCCAGACGAAAGGGTACAAGACGAAAGTACAAGACGAAAGTACAAGACGAAAGTACAAGACGAAAGTACAAAAGAAGTAACAGAGACGAAAGTACAAGTTAGATAAGTACAAGACGAAAGTACAAGACGAAGTACAGACGAAAGTAAAGACGAGAGTACAATGACGAAAGTACAAGACGAAGTACAAGACGAAAAGTAGCAAGTCGAAAGTACAAGTCGAAAGTAGGCAAGACGAGAAGTACAAGACAGAAGTACAAAGACGAAGTAGAAGACGAAAGTACAAGACGAAGTACAAAAACGAAAGTACAAGCGTAAAAGTAAAGCCGAAGTACAAGACGAAAGTAACAAGACGAAAGTCAGACGAAAGTAACGACGAAAGTACAAGTCGAAAGTAAAGTCGAAAAGTATAAGACGAGAGGTATCAAGACGATAAGTTACAAGACGCAAGGTACACAGAGAGTTACAAGACGAAAGTACAAGACGAAAGTAAAGTCGAAAGTCAGTCGAAAGTATCAAAAGAAGAAAGTACAAAGTCGAAGTACAAGACGAAAGGGTACAAGAGAAAGTAGCAAGACGAGAGTACAGAGAAAAGTCAGTCGAAAGTACAAGGTCGAAAGTAAATAGAACGAAGTACAAGACAAAGTACAAACGTAAAGTACAAGAGAAAGTACAAGTAGAAAGTAACAAGACGAAAGTAAAGACAAAGTACAAGACGAAGTAAGACGAGAGTAAGACGAAAGTACACAGACGAAAGTACAAGACGAAAGTACAAGACGAAAGTACAAGACGAAAGTACACAGACGAAAGTCAACACAGTCGAGAAGTACAGTCGAAAGTACAGACGAAGTACAATACGAAAGTTACAAAACGAAAGTACAAGACGAAGTAAAGACGAAAGTACAAGACGAAATAAAGACGGAAAGTACAAGAGAAAGTACTAAGACGAATAGTACAAGTCGAAAGTACAAGTCGAAAGTAAAGACGAAGTACAAAGACGAGAGTACAAAACGAAAGGTACAGACGAAAGTACAAGACGAGAGTACAAGCCGAAAGTACAAGACGAAAGTACAAGACGAAAGTACAAGACGAAAGTACAAGTCGAAGTACAAGTCGAAAGTACAGACGAAGTACAAGACGAAAGTAAAAAGAAAGTCAAGACGAAGTACTCAAGACGAAAGTACAAGTCGAAAGTACAAGTCGAAAGTACAAGACGAGAGTACAAGTCGAAAGTACAAGACGAGAGTACAAGTCGAAAGTACAAGACGAGAGTACAAGTCGAAAGTACAAGACGAAAGGAGGTTTACAAGTCGAAGTCAAGACGAGAGACAAGTCGAAAGTACAATAACGAAGTACAAGAAGAAAGTACAAGACGAAGTAAGACGAAGTACAAGACGCAAGTACAAGAGAAAGTACAAAACGAAGTACAGACGAAAGTACAAACGAAAGTACGATCGAAGTAACAGACGAAAGTACAAAACGAAAGTACAAGACGAAAGTCAAGACGAAAGTACAGACGAAAGTACAAGAACGAAGTACATAGACGGAGTACAAGTCGAAGTACAAAGAAAGTACAAGACGAAAGTACAAGACGAAAGTACAAGACGAAGTACAAGAGAAGTACAAGACGAAGTCAAAGACAGAAAGTACAAACGAAAGTACAAGAAGAGTACAAGACGATAGTACAAGACGAAGTAAAAGAAAGTACAAGACGAACGAAAGTCAGTAAAACGAAAGTCAAACACGAAAGTACAAGACGAAAGTACCGAGAAAGTACAAGACGAGAGTACACAAGTGAAAGTACAAAACGAAAGTACAAACAAGTAAGACGAGACAGAAAGTACAAGACGAAAGTCAAGACGAAGTCAAGTAAACGAAGACAGACGAAGTAAAGGAGAAAGTACAAACGAAAGTACAAGACGAAAGTCACAAACGAAAGTACAGTCGAAAGTACAAGACGAGGTACAGTCGAAAGTACAAGAATAAGTACAAGAACGAAAGTACAAGACGAAAGTACAAGACGAAAGTACAAGACGAAAGTACAAAACGAAAGTACGACGAAGTAAAGAAGACGGAAAGTAACAGTCGAAAGTACAAACGAAAAGTACAAGACAAAGTACAAGACGAAAGTACAGACAGGACAAGAGAAAGTCACCAGACGAAAGTCAAGACGAAAGTACAGACGAAAGTACAGACGAAAGTACAAGACGAAAGTACAAGAGAAAGTACAAAACGAAAGTACAAGAACGAAAGTACAAACGAAAGTACAAGTCCGATAAGTAAAGACGAAAGTAAAAGCGAAAGTACAAGACGAAAGTACAAGATCGAAAGTCCAGACGAAAGTTACAAGACGAAAGTACAAGACGAAAGTACAAG